CCCCCCCCAAAAAAAAAAAACAACATATATATAGTCTATGAGAGCACTAGATTTATTTACCAATGCACTTGGTACAGGTACACATTTCACAACATCTAAAGATAGGGTTAGCACACTTCAAAATTCCAGCATCCACAATGAAGCTAAAAAAATTATCTTACATACTGAGAGAAGAAAATCATGTGCGCACCTGAGACCAAATCATAACACCACCTAAGAAAGCAAGTGTATGCAGTATCTCATTTTCGGCATTAAGGCCAACCAAAGTCACAAAGTCTCCTGATCTCTGTGATTATTGAAAATAAAAAACAAAAATAATTAAGCAATGAAAGTACAGCAGAAAGGGAGGGTTGCACTAACAACATTACCAATTACTAACCTTCCAAAACCAAGGCAACACCCGAAAGAACAAAATTGCCGAGTCCATCAGTATTGTCACAAACTCATGAATAAAATGGAAGTGGCTGAAAGTGAAGAAAGATACATTAGGGAAGCACAACTGTGCATGTTTACGTCTATTAAGATTATAAATGAGAATGGCAAGGAAGATATACCTTTTATCAAGACTGTAGGCTCGTGATTTCTCAAATTTTTCTTGGCTGATTACTCCTTCCAAAGTTTTAGGAAGGCTTGGAAGTTTGAGAGCAGTATGTTGGCGCAAATCCAAGTAAGTTTCAAAGATGTACATTAATATCATAAAACCTGTAATAAAAATTAGAAAGTAAAAGCAGTTACAAGCAATGAAACAGGATGGGGAGAGGAAAAAGAGAAAACAAAGATGAAGAAGCTCCGAAGACGCCGGGAGTCATTTCAAAAGAAAGTGAAATAAGAAACAATCAAATCACAAGTTGAAAGGAAACTGAAAAACTACCAAATCGCAGCATAGACGAGAAAATTAACAGAAAGAATGACCACAATGGAGAGAGAAAAGGGACAAAAGAAAAGGAAAAAGAAAAAGAGGGGGGAGGGGGGCTGGGGAGTGTAGTTGACAAGTCTTCCCATTTCTTAACGAGTGGTTTGATGACTCTGTTAGCTATTGAGATGACCACTATTTTTCTAACCGTCTTTAGATACCAATCAAAGCTGAGTATATAAAGCAGAAACTATATCTTAAGCCCAAGTGTTCATACTTCATGGGAAAGAAAGCGGTAAAGGTAAACCATTTTAGGTTGTCACACCACATTTTGATAAAACCCAACCGTTCAAACTTCCAAACTGAACAAAGTATCCACATTTTCCTAGAAACCAAACATAAATTCTTCTATCTGAAAACATGAAAACCAATCCAAACACCCACAAAGAAACCCCGCACCAAGCTCATAACAACAATCGGAGTTAGACAAGAAAGATAAAAACTTCAACTTGAAAAGCCCTAGGATTTCATTAAAACCAAAATTTGGATAAAAATATTTCTTTTTAAAAAAAAACAACTTAAACACAATCCACAAAATGAACCAAATGAGTTCTCAGTCCAAAAAGAAACAAAAAGCAAATGAGTACTCACAAAACGAAATTTTGATGCAACACACTTATCTGAATAATAGGCAACAAGACGAAGAAGAAGATGACTCTCAATTAAAAGCAAGCAGTTCAGAAACTTAATTAAAAAAAATCAAAGAAGACAAAAAAAATGCAAATATTGATAATAAATGGAAGGAGATATTGAAATGGATAAATACCGATAACAGCTTCCAAAAACGGGAACGCCATGGCTGAGTAAGACGGTGCAGAGAGAGAGGTTTTGACGAGATGAAGTCGTGTTTTGTACGAATAAATAGAAGCAAACGAACCGGATCTTCTTCTACCCGATAACAGCTTCCAAAACCGGGAACGCCATGGCTGAGTAAGACGGTGCAGAGAGAGAGGTTTTGACGAGATGAAGTCGTGTTTTGTACGAATAAATAGAAGCAAACGAACCGGATCTTCTTCTACCCGACTCGATTTTTTTTTACCCGAATGCTTATAAATCTTAAGCAAACCCTATTAATCAATTTTCTTATCTTTCGGAAGCATCTATAATAAAAAGTAAAAAAAAATTCACTAGCCCCAACAAACATTCTAATATAGTAATATGCTAGCCTCTCCGAGCTTCCGCATTGAGAGAGGCTTTTTAAAGAATTTATAAAAAAAATTATTTTATAATTAAAAAAGATAATAGATAGTTGTGTTCCATAAAAATAGAATCAATTATCTAAATTTTCTTTTAATTTTAAAATTTTTTAAATATGAAACAGTGTGAATTTACCATATTATCCTTATTTAATTAATAATTTCAATTCTTAATGTTTGCATTAATAAATGGTATTTTCTGGTATTTTGAATGTTTTATCATTTTCTATCTTTTGCTATATATATAGATGGATTATATTCTCATATTATTCATTTAAACAGTATGATTTAATCAATAGTTCATATTGTTTAGTAAAGAAATTGTACACATGGTGCATGTACACTCAAGATTTTATGTTCGAATCTCCTTCCCGAATATCAAAAAAATGTTCGTATTATTTATGAAACATTTTGGGCAAAGCCCAAAACTAAACTAAACAAAAACAAATATATCCCTTGAGAAGCCATTCAATAAATTATTCATTTATGTATGACCTATTCATTGTCTGATCTTTTTTCCTTGATCAGATTCATTGTCTGATCTTATGAATTTTTTTTTTGGTTTTTAATGAAGCATTTTTTTCCAACAAAAGAAGACTTTTTCCTCTGCAAAGAAAAACAGAACATAATTATGTTTACACACTTCTTTTTGTAAAGTTGTTGCATTGTATTTTATTTAGCATGCATGCACCGATGGGGTGGTAGTTATTTCCGAGAAGGTATACACCAATGGGCATTGATATAAAAGCTTATACTTGTTGGCATTTAAAAGGTTTTAAAAATTTTGAATTTTAAATGTTATTTTATTTTATTGATTGTGGGTTTATAAGATTTTAATTTTCAGTCTCTATTTTTATATTTAATAACTTAAATTTCAATGTGTCTGGATGTTACAAGCATTGGATGCCTATAAAAAGGCATTCCTCTTCACATTTGATATATACAACCACAACATGATTCTCTTTTCTCCTATGTTCATACTTTCTTTCTCTACTTTCGGTTATTATTTTTGGGTAATGGTTATGTGACTTGGAGCCATATATCTGATTGTGAATGTGATCATAGCGAACTTTTTTTTTTTTTTTTTTTGGGGTCAGAAAGTAAGATTTCATTAACAGGCCGAATCAGCCACTAAAACGAAACCAAACAAGGGAAAAAGTCCCACACTAGCAGGACGAGCAAAGAAACAAACTAAAAGCAAGCTGCAAGTAGCCATAACACAGACGTCGCAGAGCTGCTCTAAACGTCGCCACCTGCAAGAAGCCTCCATGCTAACCTAAGGGTGAGGGCTGGGTAAACCATCCTAATTCAGAATGTGCACCAGGGAAGAAACTTGTGTATTAAGGGTCGTATATTAGAGTCTTGCAAACTATCATTACATGCATGTTGTGAGGCTACAAAATAACCAATAATGCCTAATTAATGACAACCACCACATCCTTCACTAAATACAACTTGTTTTCCACATATACCATCAAACTGCTGATCATATAACTTTGGGAAAAATTAGGCATAACTTGCCAGTCATGACCTCCCTTTCCATGTTTGGAGTCTGATTCAATTCAACCTACTTTTCCAACAGTATATCTCTGAAACCAACAATTAGCTAATATTATTCACCAGCAAATTCTTCATCCACCTGTTTTCTTAAGCCAAAACCCTCTGCTTGGCTTTAGAATTTGCTTCAGTAAAACCATTTTGGGAACATTCCAATGCTCTACATGCCTGAAAATTTCCATAAAGGGCCAGTTAAGTGACAAGGTTGGAAACTAGGAAAGATAAGAAAAAGTGGCCTCATTGTAACAAAGTTACCTGCAAACCTTCCCAGAGAGTTCATCAAAATAATACTCTGTGTATCCACTTGCTGCAACATTTGGTTCAGAATTCAGATTAGAACAAGCGCTTTTTTTCTTGGTTTGTTAGCTCGCTGAATGGTTTTTGACCCCCTACAGGATAAAGCTAAAAGCATACCAGATAGAATGGGCTTCCAAGGGAATGACAAGATGCAACTAAATCTCCAGTGACCAATTCCTTTATCCTGCAACCAAAAGTTTGATGAAAACTTTATAAATATCTGTATATATGTGTATATGTGTATGTATATTATATACATATATAATGAGGAACACATGGAAGGAAATGTGGAATTTTTAAAGGGTGATGTTACCTCAAAATCTTCCCACTTCATGAGCTTCATATTGGACTTCATTAAAAGGGACCCAAAATTTGTGCAGTTCCTTTTGAAACGCTGAAGCCCTTTGAATGAACTTGCTGGATCAGCAAATTCACAATCCTCTTCATATGCATCAAGGGTAAGGTTCCCTAGTAATTAAAGGATGAAGATTGCCCACTAGTTAGCATAAACAAAAACAAACACTCATTTAAAAAGCACAAGAGAAAGAAGAGAGCAACAAAATTCAATTGGGTTCTCAGAAACCTGTGACAAAGTATGATCTTTCAAAGTCTTGTTTGATGGATTTTACTACCATGGCTCGATCAACTGCTCCTGACCCATCTCTTGCAAGCTCAAGAGCTGCAGTTTCAGGAGCTTCGGCTTTCGATGGTGGCCGGAAAAATGACGTGGCAATTCCCAGAAGCTCAGAGCTATACCAAGCCACCTTAAGCAGTGCCTTTTCAGGTTGGGATTGTTTATCAGTTGGTGAATCACTTGTTTGGTTTAACTTTTCTCCACTGCAACAAAATCTGTAGACACTGTATCGATGGTTTGGCTGGAAATTGACGTACTTCTTGTTGTGCAGGGAAGTGAGGTGGGGTGTAATGGAAGCATAGGAGAAAATATTTGCCATAGAGAGAGAGAGAGAGAGATGGTGGTTGGACTGAGTTTTGTGAAGTTTGTCTCAGAGTCTCACTTAAATATCTAAGGAACACGGTGAATGATAGCCATAAATAAATTGATGAATGTAGTTTCAGTCTTGTAGGCCCTTTAAAGCCAATTTTAACTTGCAACTACCAAACTGGTGACCACATCGACACGGACCTTAAATTTTTCATCACTGTAAGAAAATTTTACTGCAGTTGAAACGCCTCTCCTTTTCTAGAGAAACACAGTTTGCTCTTGCTGTGCTGCGTTTTCTATTCAGGCTACTTTTGCTCCTGCTGCAGTTACCAATAAAAGTTGATGCATTAAAAGAATGTCACAACTCCTCTCCCTCCAGATTGAGGGGGGATGATAAGCTAGGAGAACACCAAAATATTAGCAAAGCCGGAATACGGAACATTATGCCAGTAGGCAGCAAAACAGAGTGTAGTCTAACATACAACACACCAGCATACACCAGAACTGATGACATGTCAGCTGCTTTGGCGTGACTATCGGGGATTGTATGAATGTTAGAAGTTAGTGATCCGTTATGATGAGCTGCAATTCCATTACAGTTTGTGAGCTTCAGTAATGGTAGTCGCTTGTATGTATAAACTGTCTGTCTGATTACTTATTCAACAAAAAGGAATTTCCCGGTTCATTTCCTCTCTAGCATTAGAACTGATGCTTAGCTTTCTCTGCAAACTTTTAAATTTCTTCAATAGGACTACAAGTTCCAGGGTTCATGTCAACATATCATCTCGACTGCAGAAGGTAATATACAAAATTTCCTAGGCGGGAATCCTAAATGTTCACCATCAGATTGAACATAAATGCTTCCACTGCCTGAGACGTCTTCCACTTCAATAGAGTGCACACTGCAACAAGAACACAAATGTATAAAAGGAATCCAAAGACAAATCACTACATGTAATAGCTGCGGATGAATTGACTCAAGCAGCCAATTTAAATCATTTGAGTCCTGACGTCTTAAGCAATTCAAAACAGAAATCTACATGTATGCATCCTGATGTGATGAGTACCGTTGGTTACAAATAAAGAAACAGGGAAAATGTATGCGTGAGAAAAGAGAGAGAGAGGGAGAGAGAGCAAGGAACATAAACAGTATGTTATTGTATTCCACCTAACAAGACCTACCTTCTTGAAGATACATTTTTCACTGTTAGATGTGTCCCATTGTACAGCTTATGTAGCTTCAGAATAAAGTCATACCACTTGAAGTCCTGAAGAATCACAACCTGCCAAGAAAGTTTATAACAAAGATCAAACATACTGGGAAAACATTGCAGTATATAAAGTACCTTATATAAAATATGAAAAAAGTAAAAAGTAAAATTTGTGAATAATTAGGAAGGATATATGCAGAAAACACTAATCCACCTCAAAATTGCCGCTGTGAGGGTCAGCATTTGGTGTAATTTTCATGCCACCGCCAAAGAATTTTGCATTTCCGATGCAAAGGGCTGTTACTTGAGAGTATAGTTCCCACTCCCCTTCATTGACCTAAACTAAAAACACTCTATTAAGCTAAAAAAATGGTATGAGTGTCTGTATGGAAAATAAACACGCAAGCAATAGGCTACCGACTACTAGTGCACAATGCATTACAAATATTGACCTTGATTTTAAGGTCCTGATTACGGTGCCCAACAAAGGCTTTCAAAGCACCAATAACATAGCACAAGTTGCCAAATCTCTTGTATCTAGAAGCATAGTATCCTGCTTTTGCACTCCTGCAAAATATCCCCCCAAAAAATGGCAACAAGACTTTCTAAGATCAGCATGTACCTTTTTTGAAACTAAATTGTCAAATTTTCCAAGTTAACCTTACAAATGAATGTCAGCAACATTAACAAAGTAATGAGGTTCTCCATCTTCTCCACTAATAACACCAACATCTATCCGTGATCTCTGCCCTGCAAAAAACAATTATCCTTTTACCATATTATAAATGACAAACACAATATAAATATACAGAATTAGTAAGTGAAAGCTTTCCTTCGATCTTGATTCAAAGATGCACAATACAGAAGTGAGCAAAATTAGAAAGATAAAATAAATAAAGCCTAAGCAAGCCACAGAGAGAGAGAGAGAGAGAGAGAGAGAGAGAGAGAGAGAGAGAGAGAGAACCTTTGGCTATGCGGTCAATGGCTTCATGAGGATCATTTTTCCTAATAAAACAACAGACATTCAACCATTTAGAGCAAGTCTAAACTCAGAGAAATTTATGAAATGATACCAGATTGCAAAGCATGAACTAACCAGCCAAAAGTTCGGGCAAAATCAGACCCAGTCCCCAAAGGAATGAGCTGTAAAAAGCACAAAATAAGTTATGCATTCTCTTCAGAAATCCAAAGCATCAAAACCAGGTAGTTAAAGGATCAATTGAACATGTCGCAGATGAAGTTTCATTTACATACAACAATAAACAATTTGAAACTAAGATTACTAGACTCTCATGGTAATCACTTACACCGAGTGCAGTTGAATGGGTGACCTCTCTATCATGATTAGTAACAGGTTTTCCTGCCCAAAAGAATCCATTGACAACCTGCTTATTACAAGCCAATGTAGATGAGTGAGACTAGTTGACACAATCTTTCCACGAATTTTATAATCTCAGAGAAAGTTGAACCTCATGCAAAGTTCCATCTCCTCCCACCACTATTACAGCATCAGCACCCTCCCTTATAGCCTGCATACATACAAATGATAGAGCCCATTTTAAACCAATCTTCTATTCAAGAAACTGGATTTAGGTCAAGCTCAAATAATAAAAGTACCAAAGCCCACCTCTCTCGTTATGTCAATTGCATGAGAAGGACCTGATGTTAAAGATTCACATATCTGCCCATAACATAAACAAGTGAAAGTATATAAGTTTAGCAAGTGTGCCTCAATACAGAATCAAAACAGATGAAGCACAGGCTGCAAATGAATAATTGAATAGAGTGATATGGTCAATGTCACCTATTGAGTTAACAAAGACGCACACACACACGATCACCAAATTCACTACAAGAAAGAACCAAAAAGTAAAAAAATAAGACGAAGGGTTCTTCAACCCACAGAGCACTTGGGAGAACCATCAATAATGAACACCCTTTTATATGAAGGACAAAAATGAAAAATGATAACACAGAAAAATGCTTTACCAAAAAAAAAAGCCTTCAATTTCCTGGGCATACATGATTTATGGGTTCACACAATTCATATCACATAATCTAAAGAATGTTTTCCCTTCAAATTAAATAAGCATAATACCAGTTGATAAATAGATATTTCGTGGAAGAAATAAATCCCTAGTGATCTTACTGGTTGCCAAGGCACAAATACAACACAAGCAATGGATGTACAACCAACAGTAACAAAAAATTAGTGGGTGACAAGTTCCAACCTCCAACGAATTAGTTAATTAGAGTTGGATCACTGGGTCAAGCTCAAATACGCAATCACTAGGTCATAACCAAAGAGAGAAAAGAAACTCACATTGCAATCGGCACCAAGGCGAGACCTTAGATATGGCAGCAGCTTCTTCCACTCTTTACCTGTCCTCCCATTAGCACCTGTTCCAATTTCCCATTTCTCTAATCAACAAAACCCACTACACACAAAACCACAAAAACACAGAGAGAGAGAGAGAGAGAGAGAGAGAGAGAGAGAGAGAGAGAGAGAGAGAGAGAGAGAGAGAGAGAGAGAGAGAGAGAGAGAGAGAGAGAGAGAGAGAGAGAGAGAGAGAGAGAGAGAGAGAGAGAGAGAGAGAGAGAGAGAGAGAGAGAGAGAGAGAGAGAGAGAGAGAGAGAGAGAGAGAGAGAGAGAGAGAGAGAGAGAGAGAGAGAGAGAGAGAGAGAGAGAGAGAGAGAGAGAGAGAGAGAGAGAGAGAGAGAGAGAGAGAGAGAGAGAGAGAGAGAGAGAGAGAGAGAGAGAGAGAGAGAGAGAGAGAGAGAGAGAGAGAGAGAGAGAGAGAGAGAGAGAGAGAGAGAGAGAGAGAGAGAGAGAGAGAGAGAGAGAGAGAGAGAGAGAGAGAGAGAGAGAGAGAGAGAGAGAGAGAGAGAGAGAGAGAGAGAGAGAGAGAGAGAGAGAGAGAGAGAGAGAGAGAGAGAGAGAGAGAGAGAGAGAGAGAGAGAGAGAGAGAGAGAGAGAGAGAGAGAGAGAGAGAGAGAGAGACCGCTAGGATTGACGACGAAAACGAGGTCACGACGGCGAGATGAAGAAGACCCACTTCGAAGAATGGAGCGGTCAGCACATAGATCAGGAGCCTTGGGTAGCTCTGCTCTGACAGCCCATGGTTTCGCCATTGATACTCTCACCCCTGCTATTCCAGTTCCAAATGCTATCTGATTCATGCTCATCTCTTTTCTTCTTTTTTATGCTTTGGGTTTAATTATGCGGTTTCTCCGATTTGCAGGAAAAACAAAAACAGGGTTAAGTAGTTAATGAGATTTCTCACACAGGCGTAAATTTATGGTGGCAAATCTTCTCCTGTGCATCACACTATGTAGCAGTGTGAAACAGAGCAGTCATTTCTATTTATTTTCACTCTTTAGGAGATAATTTCTATTTTTTTTCTTTATTATTATTATTATTGCTAATATTTCATTGGGTTAGCAAATACTTCAATATTTCACACGTGACAAAAATATTTTGGTGGGAAGCTACGTCCTTATTAAAGATCGATATATTTTATCAGGATTTAGGAAAATGTTAAGTTTAAATCAGAATTATTTTATGATTGATAGTGACATAAATTATACTCTTTTAGTTTTGAGATTCTTTTTCTTTATTAACCACAATTTACGACACAATGGTTTGTTTTAAGCAATGGGCAACTAGCCATTTACAGCTGCAAAATTTACACAACAAGAATAAAGATGATATTCATTGAACATAGAGAACTGTTGTTGGTGGCTTTAACTTGGCAGGAATACAAAACAACAGCAAAATGTCATCCTCTCGAAACGGCAAAACCCTCATCTTCGTCCTCTTCCCTTTGAACTGAAATGGTGAGACTTGAGCTTCTTCTTGCGCACAGCACTAACAGGGCCGGTCTCTCTAAATGGCATCCCCATCAGAGCCAAAAGTGTCTGAGCTTCTTTATCTGTTTTAGCAGTTGTTTTAATGCAAACATCCATTCCCCTGCCCTTACCAAGATCAAACCGGATCTCCGGGAACACACTCTGTTCCTTAATGCCAACGGCATAATTCCCGTTTCCATCAAAACTATTTGGGTTTAGACCTTGGAAATCCCTTGTCCTAGGAAGTCCCAAGTTAATCAGCCGATCAAGGAATGAGTACATCACCTACAAAATAGAATAGTAAGCCTAGTGCATGAGATTGGATACATTTTTCAAAAGTATTGCCACGGGAAATACTGGTTCAAATCCTTTGAGCACATATAAGACCAACAATTGCACCGTAGTTCATTGCTCTTCAATCATAGGCACTCTTTGCCTTTGGTAACCTTATAGAAATGAAGAAGCTGCTCCTTTCTGGTTCCGTTATTAACGATATGTTACGCAATAGCAACAAGATATTAGTATTGTGTTTACCATCATAATGTAAAGAACTTCCAGATGGGCCTCCATGTGATTTATAGTGTTGTCTTAAATTTTCATTAACAAAATTTCAAATATTGAACGGGAGATGATAAGAAACCTGAATAATAGACATGCTCACAAGCAATAAAAAAGAATAAGTCTTGTTAGTACTTACGTAAACGAAATCAAGCAGAAAATAAGATTCACTATTAAGGGGGAAGGGAGCAAACTCACATTTCCTCTAAGTGTGACAGCAATCCCAAGTGGCTGGCCTTCCCTGATCTTGAAGGTAGCAAGGGAAACCTTTGCTCGTGTCTTTATGGGTCTCTGCCCAGTAATGAGCGCCAAGTCATTCATTGCTGCTTCCAATCCCTTAGCATTCTGTTGAGCGTCTCCAATACCGCAGTTCACAACAACCTTCTCAACCTTCGGAACCTGCCCAAGTTCCACATTGCAGAAATAACATAAATATAACACATTAGTAAAGCGCTGAACCTTGAAAACCGAAAAGATGTTTGGTTACCCTCTGAAAGCCGAAAATTTATAATCTAAAAACTCAAGTTCTCACCTAGTTCCTAAAATTAGGAGTAACAAAACAACACACTGAGACATTTTCCAACCAAAAAAAACAAACCCCATTTCGTTTTTTTAACAACCATTGCACGTAAAAATGCAAAACCAATATAATTCTAAATCAACCCAGATACATTGTCTAAAACCTGAAGAGACCCATATCCAGAAAATTAAAATTAACAAAAATAATGTTTAAAAAAATCAAAATCAAAATTAAAATGGTGGGTTTTGTTCACCTGGTGGATGTTCGTGTAGGAGAACTCTTCTTTGAGCTGAGGAACGATTCTTTCAAGGTAAGTGGTCTTGAGCCGACTGACCTTCTCTGCCTCTGACTTCTCCACCAGCACTACCGCCGAGGCCTTCACCGGCATCACCAATCCGCCCCCATTTCTAGGGTTTCCGTACGACAGGCGTAAAGGTGGAGGTGACACAACAACTGGGAATTGACCGTGAAACGACGACGTGGCAGAGCGTAAGAGCGAAGGGCAGGCCATTGCTATCTCCGTTCTTTCAGTGTCCGTGTGTTCTTTGAACGCAGACTCAGAGGGTAGGGGTTTAGGGTGCGAGGTGAGGAAAGGACCTCGTTTGGAACTTATTTACGATAGTGGCTGTAAGAGTGTTGAGTGAGGTGGTTTTTCTGTGAATTTGGGCAAGAGTGAGGGTGATTACTGGATTTGGCTTTCTGTGAATGAAATAGGATAAGGTAGGTACATTTAGAAGAAAACGATCAAGTATTATATGTTAGCCATGGCCAATGGTAAAACATTTGCAGCCCAAAATTATTAGCCTAACTTAGTGAGAAGTGGGTGTGGGTCTTTACATTTTCTATTTTGATCTCCAAGTTTAGGGTTTTCAATTTATTAGGGATAGATTTTAATTTTGATATGATTATAGATTCATATGAATGCGTTAAGTTCTTTTTGAGACATTATTGGATTGCATTCATAATTCAGCAAAAAAAACCTCTAGTCACAAAATGACCAATACAAACTAGTCAGCAAAGGCCATTACAGTTACAAAGAAATCTAACATTAACATTAAGACAATGGGCCTCCACAAATGAGTTTGAGAAAAAAAAAATTTCAAAAGAAGCTAACATAAGGATTAAAAGCATTTCTGTAACCCTTAAAAACCCAATTAGGCCCTGGATCACTTGGGATAGATGAGTATTTCATTCCAAAATTTCCATTATCTAGTATCTACAACTTTAATTCATTACATCACTATTTTATTGATTTTTTTTTCTTTCAATTTTAATGTTTCTTATAAAATCTCGCTGTTGTTGAACATATGTTAAAGGTTCTAGCCCCCTCTTTCTCAAAAAATACTCATAAAGATGTTTTCAATTTGAGGGGGGAGCCAGCCATTGTTCTTCCTCCCTTCTCCTCTTTTCTCTTCCTCCTATCTCCTATTTCCCCATTTTCAGAGATATAAGGATTCCCCTATTTGTCATCATTTTGTTATGATTTTCCTCCAATTATCACAAGGGGCTGTATCTCGACGTCGGATCTCCACCGGAATTTCGGCTTTGAATCTCCACCACCATCCTTTTGCAGTTTCTTTATGTTTGGAATAAGTCACATAGACTCTTTAGGTTATGTGTAGTTTTCACCTCTCATTTTGTGAGAGCTTTTCATCTCTCATTTGTGAGAGTTTTATTTGTATTTTTATGACTTGGTTTTTTCAAACTTTATCTCTTTTTAATTATTCTGAGTTTGCAATCTTAGTTGGGATGCCTATGCTAGAGTTTTTTTATCATGCGTGATCATTAGTGAAGCCGCACCAGATTGTCTTAATTTTGATGTTAGATCGCTACGTTATTGTAATGGCCCTTTGTGGCTAATAGCTTTTTTAGTTGAATTATGAATGCAATCCCATAATTTCTCAATAAGAAAAAACATATGATAAAGGTTGAACATACTTTCACTATCTTTAGTCGGCTTTGATAGTTGATATAGAAATTAAACACAATGTAATCTTCTACTTTCAATTTTATAAATCACTTTAGCAATTAGAGTATTTCAGTTCTGCAATTTGATGAATATATTGTCCATATATCAATTGGTCACCTTGTGTTTTTGTAGTTCATAATATCAACAAAGTAGAGGATTCATACACTCATAAGTTTGATTTTGAGTAATATTAAGAATTTTTTATTTTTATAATTGTTGTCTATAAGATTTAAACTTAAAATTTATTCCAATGTAGTGGACACTAGATGTCACTATACTAAATGGTTGACAATTAAAGCTAGATATGAACGTAAGAAGAATGCTACTTACCTTCTCATATGATTTTATTTATTTATTTTTAAATGTGATGTAATCTTTATAAAAATAAAAATAAAACTATTTAGTCAAATAGAGTACATAGACCATACAGATTTTTTTAAATTATTCACTCCCAAACGAGCCCGTAGTCTTTACACACACAAAAAAACTATTTAGTCAAATAGACATAGCTAGCTAGGGGCAGGGTCTTGTCGGACATTTTCTTTTTCGGGCCAAGTTGAGCTTTGAAAAGGATCGACCCAAGCCCGCCCATTGAGCCACCTGCAGGCTGCCCATTACGTTTTTTTTTCCTTATATTGCCTTGCCTTGTTTCCATTCCAAACATTTAAGTAAATATCTTATCGTTTTACCTTAATTTATTTGTATATTACTCAATCTACTTAAGTTTACAATGTAAATAAGGAAGTACTCTCCATTTGGATTTAATTAAAAATATTAGAAAATCAAATTCCCAACAAATCAAAAAATGAAAATCCAATTTTAGTATAAGATACAGTTTATACCAATATTGATTCCTCAATAAGTCAATGTATAATTTATACTAAAATCTCATAAAATTGTGTTTGCTTATTTAATATGTAAGGAATATAAACCGCCAAAAATATCATTAAAAATATTATTAGTATTTCAAAAGTCTATTATTCATACTTAGTCTACATATCATAGTTGAGAAACGATTTTCTCTCCAAATTTAACTAAATCCAATTCAATCCGTTTGAAAATCTTGGATTCGTTCATGATCACCTAATTGTTATGATACAAGTTCACAAACAGTTAAATATTGAAACTATCACAATATTCACAATATTATTTAAATTGTTAAATAATTTTCAATTCGATCGATTTAAGATCTATAAAACTATCATAACATATGAAAAAGAAAGGAAAAAATGCAAAAGGAAAATGCGAGGGAAGGTAGAGCTAGCTAAAGAGGTGAAAGCAATGTATCCATGTATCAATCTAAAATCTGGTATATTAAAACAAACAAAAAAACAAAAAGAGAGAGAGAGAGAGAGAGAGAGAGAGAGAGAGAGAGCGTGCGGTCACGAGTAAAAGAAGCGCGTCACATGTATTTCATAATATTTATCAGCGATGTGAAGGTGAAGGTGGTCTTTTCCGCAACAGGAGACCCTTCGCTTTGCCTCTCTCTCTTTCTCTCTCTAAACAACTCTCTCGCGCTCTGAATCTCCCACTAATATTCTCTCTCATCTCGATCGAAAGGAGAACAAAGCAGAAATCAAACCCTAATTTTTCAGTGAATCTGTCTCCTCGCTCTCTGTCTCCCTCGCTCTCTGTCTGTCCCTTTCTTTTCATTTGGATCCCGGTAGTTCCTCCATAATAATACCTTAGGTTTGTAAGATCTTAAAAATATATATTTTGAAGGCAAAGAAACCCTAGGCCTGTTGCTCATCTGATGCTTATACCAACCAAAATTTGAGGATTTTTTTGATAAAAATTTCTTGAAATCCACGCAAGGTTCGAGTTTGGATTTGCAGAATAGGTTGATCACACTAGTATGTGTATATATTTGTGCTTCGGTGTTTTTGAATTGGACAAAGATTGATTAGGGGGAGTTTTGGTGGTTTTTGGAATATTGGATGTATTGGATATTGTTCTAGATTGAGCTGGATCAGAGAATGGATTTGCTCTATTTTAGGGTCTAGTGGCAGTGGCTTAGACTTTTTTTTGGCTGATTTGTATTGCTCGGGAGTTGAGAAATTGGATTTGGGATTTGGTAATGGGTGATGCCTGAGCTGGGCTTACTAATTTGCTTGCACTGAATTTTATAACCTTGTGTATCAAATTGACTTTCTGGGTTAGAATTGGTGTAGCAATTAGGCAATTAGTGGATGTATTAAATTGAAGCTTCCTGCGGAGGTAGGAAACCCTTGTGTTGATTTGGATGTTGATATGGTTTTTGGGCTTTGCCTTTTGAGCTTGGAGTCGTGACTGTTGATTGAAGAGTGGTTGTTTTTACGGTTGGGAGGACACTCTGATTAGCTTGTAGTTGGGATATACTGTTTGCATCGACTATTTGCAGAATGAGCTTAGAGAATGAAGACACACACTCACCAGATCAGCCTACTGAAACGGATAACGAAATTCAAAAGTAATAAATTTGTCTTTGGCACTTCTGGTTTTACTAATTGATGTAGTTCTTCTTGTATATCTATTCATGAATTTTTCATTCCTTTGTCATTAGTGAACTATAACAATATTGTTCCTCTTATGATCCAGGAAGTCGAAAATATCATTTACGAGAGAATTCCTACTGTCGTTTTGTGAATTAGATAGCTGCAAGAAGTTGCCAAGTGGGTTCGACCAGTCAATCATAAGGTGATACGCCTCTTTTGATTGGTTCAGTTGTTAGCTTGTATTTCTTAAATTATTTTTGTATTATAGATGCCTGGTTTAGCTGTTTGGTTGGTTACTAATACTGCTTTACTCGTATATCATATTAAGCCTTGTTCATTATGTATGATTTTAGTTTAAGTTATTTTCCTTTTTAAATCAGTGAGTTCGAGGATGCTTTCAAAGATCGGCAAAGGATATCTGGTGGTTTGTCATCACATAGTTTCAGGCGAAATGAGTATGGTTCGTCCCCACCCACGAGAGGGGATGTAGCTGGTTATTCAAGGGCAATCCCTGGAAGGTGGGAAAGTCGTTCAACTGGACGGAGTGATAAAGATAGCGACTCGCAATCTGATAGGGATTCAGGTAAAGTTTTAGATTACTCATATTGGTATTTGATAGAGGAATTTTGACGTCCAGTTGTGGATTGATATGGATTTCTCTTCTCTGTAGAACTACAAATGTATTTAAAATATGTTCATTTCCTGTCTTGAAACAATCAAGAAATTTATTTCTGATTGAAATATGTTTTGTCTTCATTCTGTGTCATGCTCATTTCGGTGGCAATATCATCATTTATTCCACCCCTGTAGTGCTGATATCAGACTAGACTATTTCTCTACAAAAATCAATTCTGAACTTTTGTATTTCTGCCCTGTTGAATTACTGTATTGATATACAGATTCTGGAAGGCATTATGGGAAGCGGTCTTGGCAGGTTCCTGAGCATGATGGACTACTCGGAAGTGGTTCCTTTCCAAGACCTGCTGGGTTTACTGCAGGGATATCAGCCCCAAAAGTTCGACCTAATGATGCGTACCAGCTCAATAGAACCAACGAGCCATATCATCCTCCCCGCCCGTACAAGGCAAGCCTTTTACTTATTTGTGGCTCGAACATGTTTTTGCAAACAATTTTCAGAAGCGTAATGCCTGCGGTAGTGGATTTAAGTATCCACCACTTTTAAAATGCTGCTGTATAGTTTTATCTATCTTTTTCTTTTTCATAAGATAGTTTTTCTCTTGAAGAACAGTATAATGCGAATTAAAAGCCTCCTAGTTATTCTTCATTAACTTA